TATTGTTAGCTCCCGTACGTACTGTTAAAAATGTTTGGAAATTTTAGAAACAAAGAATTCTAAATTTTTTGTATGTTGTTAAAAATTCAAATTTTTGTAATCACAAACAATTTTAGAAATATCTTTCGAATTGAGTTAAAATTTTTATTAAACTCCATTTTTTTGTAAAAAAAATTAATTTTTTCAGTTAGAGTTAAAATGTGATCATTATGCTATAAAAAGCCTGTTTTAACTGAACTTCTTCTTCTTCTTCTTCTTTTGATACAGTTCTTTTCTCTTTTTCTCTCCAACGTGTTAAGAAAAAGAAGAAAAATGAACCGTTCCGGGAAAAAAAGATTATATATAATTATATAGGGTTATATATACTTCCATATGAATTTTATATGGATCCATATATAATTTCATATATGAGCATATATGATCTATTGTTTATATCTAGTTATATTTGGAATTATATATGTCCATATATAATCATATATATTTATATATAATTATATATAATTATATATAATCTTTTTTCCCGGGTTGCAAGAAGTTCAGTTAAAACGAATAGGCCTTATGAGTTTTCAGAAAAAATAGAAATATCAATATATTCATGATTCTTTCCTACAATTAGCTAAAACTTAGGGAAACTTTGCCCCTATTTATTGTTCCAAAATTTTTTTTAGAATTTTCATTTAACAGCATAATAGTAGGGGGTAATAAATACCAATTTAGATAGAAATATTTTAAACCAATTTTTTCTCACCTATTCATTTATCTATTTAAGAGTCAATCCATTTACTCATCTATCTATTAATGTCTTTATTGCTTAGATTTAAGTGTATTGATAAAAAAAATGCTTAAACATCAACTCACCGTCATGAAACAAAGAATCATCTAAATGAACTCCGAATTTTTTGAAAGCTTTGACAAAATTGGAACCATTATCCGTAACAGTGCCTACCAACTTCTCACCAATTATTTCATATTTTGAATGAATTTCATTCAAAATATTGGCGATTCGATCATGTGTATGGCTTCCGGGGAATCGTTTGCAGGCAATGGCATATGAATATCTTTTGAAAGACTGTTCATCAATCTGAATGAAAACATATAATAAGTTCCAAATAAAATGACTACTGTTACAGATTTCGAATTGATAGTTTAACTTAAAAATACTGAATGTTTTATTTATTTGCTCAAAACTCATGCAGCTTACAATATTGAAAATGCTTAAAAGAAAGTCTTTCTGACATTAAAAAAAAAAAGTTTGAATAACTCGTTAAACACAGTCTACAATAAGAATTTAAAGCCTAAAATTTAAGCTTTAAATTTAATCCTTAAGCCGTAAAAAACTGACAAATCAACATCAAATATTTGATTCAATTTCTTACGGCTTAAGATTTAAAGCTTAAAGATTAAATTTTACGCCTTAAATTATCATTGTAGACTTTACTTTATACAGAGTTTTCACTCAAGGGCTAAAAGAAAATCTTTTAATCAAAATATAAGATACTATGATTAACAATGCATTTTTTAATTAAAAAAAGCGGTTTTTGTCTAAATAATTATTTTTTTTTGGGCAATAAATACCTGCTTATTTCAATTATTTTATATGATCGAAATAGCGATTTGATGATTAAATGCGAGTTTTTCAAGTATACATTGATTAATAATATAAATTCTACAATAATTACCCAATGAACAGTCACACCAATGAATCGACGACTGTGGCTACTCCAGATATCTGCTGTTGTACACACATATTTGACGTTCGAAATCTCGTTCTTTATATTATTCATTTTGTCCTTATATGACTCCTCAATTCTACGTAGTAATGTACGAGTAGACAAATGGTGCAGTTGTTTGTTATCTTTACGAATATTCATATCTACAATGCATATTTATAGTTCAAAATTTACTATCCATTTCAATATTTAAATCGTGTATTTAAATAAACGTGAATTTCGGTCGAAATACTCATGAAAATCGAACAAGCGCTAGGATTTTATTGTTCAGCTATTACAAAATTTTTATTGATAGTATTGCAAATAGAAGCAAAATATCAAGTATGAGGAAAAATCATCTATTCACTCACAAAATTTTGAAAACGCACTGATTTCTATAGTGAAGTAACCTTTTTGCCATAAAAATTTGTTTAGATTTCTTTGCATATACACCTTTTTTCCACATACTGGTATTAATACAAATAACTTTCTTCTATTCAAAAAATTTTTTTTCTACAAATACTTAGATTTTTTTTATATGACTGCATTTAACTGAATTTCACGTGTCTGCAAGTATTTTGAATTCTGAAATTGACCATACAAGATATTCTTTATATTTAATTGAATTAAATCAGAATTACCATCAAAAATTTTCCGAAATGAGGGTAACTCTACTGTATTATATGGCACAAAACTCTCTAAAATAAAGTTTGTAACATTGTCTTCAAATTCTTTTTGAGAAAAATCACAGTAGGTTCTTCGATTTTTATTGTCTTGAGAACTGTGAAGGCGTTGTCTTTTAACGAAGCAGTAATTCTCAAACTCCGTCAATTTTTGACTATGTACTCTCTAAAAACAACTTAGTATGAGAAGCATTTATTATGTGATACATTCTTTAAGGATAAATGAAACTTGTTTATTACTGCAATTTTTTAATTTTGCAACAATAAAATGATTTTCTATAGGAAAATACTATACTAATTTTCTATAGGCTGTATACAGAACGAGTGCATTTTCTATACCTGTAACCTACACGGAGATAATTTTTTGTTATATTTTACCATTAAATTCATTACAAACTTGGGACAACTTGGCAACCAAAGAATTTTTCAAATATACAAAAGACATTTTACAAACAACGTAATAAAAATTATCAAGCAGATTGGTAATTCTTGAAAAGTTATTAAAATTATTGAAATTTTACTATATATTTTAGTAAAATTAATCAAACATATTTTATATTTTATTGTAATAGATATTAATATATTTTTTTATGGTAAATATTAATCAGAAAAGCTCGCATTAAATTTTTCGTAATACATGTTGTCTCACAACTACTATAATTTTTAGGGTAAATTCTAATAGAAAATTCTCTCTGTGTACTATTGACTACTTTAAACAAGCAGAGAAACCAATGTTATCAATCTATTAATAATATTAAAATAAGTATCAATTCAGAATTTTAATAAAAATATTCGTTTTTAATCAAGCTTTACGATTAAAGGTTACGATTAAATTTTGCAATTTGAGCGATACAAATTTATTATGAAAAATTAAACTTGAATTATTATTCAAATTAAATTTACCGAACTTTAACTTATAATGATAGTACATATGATAGTAAATTGAATTATTCTTATTTTAAAATTAATAATAAATCAATAAAAACACTAATTACAATGGCAACTTTTTATTAATCTACTAAAAATGAAATTTAATTCTACTGTAAAATTGATGCTTGTCTCTCTAAATTTATATAATTTTTTATTAGTGATATAGCAGAATAATAAAAAATAAATACAATAAAATAATGCAAGCAAAATAATTAGTTCAAAGCATCCTACCTTTAAATGAGTTTTAAAATTGGATGAAGAGTTTAAACTTCCACATATAACAGAATGCTTGTTGAATTCTATTTTACACATCTGGCATATACCGTAAACTTTCCCAGTAGAGGAAGGTTTTGATAGATCAGGAACAAACCATCTACCATCTAAATATGACCGTTTATTGCATTCTTCTTCCAAACTTACTCTCTCAATGGATGTTTCAGATGGAGTGTTTATTCTATTTTCGAAGCTTGTAGAAGTCATCTCCGTTTCAGAATTATTCGAAACAATGGAGATTCTAGAATTTTCATCGTCGTCGTTCAGATTTGAAGAACTATTGTCATCAAGTGATGTCATATTCTGTATAAAGTAAATCAAAATTTATAATATTCTGAACGTTCTTACATTGAAAAAAAAAAACGCCACTAAGATATTCCTTTCCCGGTTTTTTTTTCGTATATCCAAAAGGAATTATGTTATTAATAATTTGATCATAGCTGAATAAAATATACAAAAATTAATACTTACGTTCAGTTGGATTAATCTCCCTCTATAATGTTTTCTTTTATATTAAAAACCACTATTTTTAATGTAGTAAATATTCACAGTCCGCACTGGAATTCACTCATTTACTAATATTTACTGAGAAGCAAAAAAATTTGCCGTTGTGGCTCAGTGCGACAGTACTGTGCGAGTAGATTGCGGGACGCGAATCTTTCCACTACTTGACTTGGAATGCTCTTACTAAAGCTTCGGCGAGCTTCGGCTAACCCAAGTCAAGTAGTGGGGAGATTCACGTCCCATGATCCACCTGCGTTTACGAAGGATATCAAAATAAAATTTTCATGTTCTACGAAATTTGTGATGCCCTTGAACATTGAGACAGGCATAGTTCACGAAAGTGTCAACATTCTATAAGAAGTGTCATTGAGCAAGTTTCTTATGTCGATGTGATGTTTATGTACCGTTCTATAATGTTAATACTGACATGTACAGTTTATGTAATTTGGGTAATTCGGGCAGCGGGTAGCCGTATCGATTCGGGTACCCGCTACCGTGTCGACGCCGTTATACCC